GGTCCCTTCCAACTCTGACAGTTCCAAGAGCTCCAGCAGCACGAGGTCTGAATGGGAAGCACCCCCCAGCCCCTCTCCAGATTCCATCCTGCTCTTGTAGCCAGCGCTGTTCTTCTCTGTAACGCAGCTTGATGCTACGTTTCCTCTGGATTTGTTGAAAGCAAAGCAACGCAGACGTTTGACAAGGGGATCTCAATAAATCTCCAGGTTTCCGTCCTGCTGCGGGGACGGGACGCTGTCTCCCCGAGCCCAGCCTTCCCTTCCCTTCCTCTCTCCAGCAGAACGTCTCCGCCGAAGCCCGGCAGAACGCCAGCGTGGCCATCCTGCCCGTGGTGGCCACCAACGCCACCTGCTCCGTCCGCGTGGCTGCTGTCACCAAGGGGGGAGTGGGACCTTTCAGCAGCCCAGTGGAGGTCTTCATCCCTGGCGGTGGTAAGGAGATGCCCGTCCCTGCCCGTGCAGCGTGCGTGCAGGGGTGGGTGGTGAGGAAGTGGGCAGGATGTGCTTTGCTTGCCCAGCCAAGGCCATTTGGCATCCCTCCAGCCTCTCTCGGATGCTTTCCCTGTCGGCCAGGCTATGGGCCAAGAATCTGGGACCTTCAGCGTGCCTTGGTAGCCAGGAGAGACTTCCTCTCTGCATGCAACCTTGATCCTCGTGCCCTCTTCTCCCGTCTAACCCTTTGGGCTTTACTGGGTTTGGTTTCAGCCCCTGGGCAATCCTTCCCCAGTCCCTGGGTGCTGCAGGCTGACCCTTTCACTGCCTCCATTAATGGGATATTTTCTTAGGATTAATAACCTCCGCCCCCTCTTCGACTCCAGCCTCTGGGAACGCGGACTCCTTTGTCATAGCCCTGGGCTTTATCTGTGGGACAATTGCTGTGGGGCTGATCCTCTGCTTGACTGTGGTCATCCAGAAAAGATGCGTGGAAACAAAATATGGGTAAGCCAAAGGGAAAACAGCTTGCAGAGGTGGCCTCAGCTGGCCAGGTGGCAAGTGTGTGGGGCACAGACAGGCAGGGTGGGTGGCCAGCTGGACCCATGCTGGCCCATGGTGGCCAGCAGCCCATGCTGGATGTGGGTGGAAGACTTCTGCCTCCAGTACTGACGTCATTCCCACAAATGGCATTTTTGATGCCCACGGTGAGAGACTGAGTATATTTTTACTGCAGCGAGGGTACTTCCCCCTCTCTTCTTCAGCTCAGCACTTCACCTTTCACTCACTTTTCCTATTTTTTAAGGGAAGTAAGCTTGTGCAACTTGGTTTGGGAGGGTGGCCTTGGCATTTTGACACAGAGGTGAGAGAGCAGATGTGTATAATATCCTGTTTCCTGTGGCCTGGAGAAACCCCTCCTGCCCCATCACATGCCAAGATCTGTCTGGGTCCAATGCCTAAGTGTGGCACCAGCCCCGTCGGGCAGAGAGACTGCCACCGGGCTGCATAAGTGGTGTTTTAGTGATGTGGACAAAGGACTGTTTTCTGCTACAATGAGCCGATGCTACTCACTCAGCCTTGTGACTTTCTTCAGTGGCATTTAGCTGCCCTGTGCTGCTGTTTCCATCAAACAATTGTGGTGGGAGCTGCTTTTCTTTAAAGCGCTACCACTTGGATGTCTCCTGCCAAACGGGAAATGTGACACAATTAACTCCTTTGGAAGAGCATCATTTCAGCAAGGGAGATTGCTGAGCTTGTAAAGGAATCCCACCTGCTCTCATCTCTCATGGCATCACCTCCATCCCAGTCTGGAAACTGGTAGTACGTTAGGAACCCTTTCCTAACTGGTGTAGCACTGTTGCTCTGCCCTTGCAATGGTAGCTCCTTGGGAGCTCTTGAGCCTCTGCTGTGCTTTTGTTTCCCAGAGCTGGACCTCTGCACGGTCCCATACTCGAGGGGTTGCACAGCATCTCCCAGCAGCATCCCCATCACCACTGTTTTGGGGCCATGGTGTGGAGCTCCCTTTAGTGTCTTTTTGGCTAAAGGGTAGGGGTTGCCCATGCTAACGGAGAGCATTGTCAGGCTGGAGTTGTGCATCAGGCAAGAGAAGAGATCCCTTTAGGAGGTGGTAGATCTGGGCACCATAATTCTACCAGTACAGGCTGCGCTCTGAGTAGGAAATGAGTATCCCATTTCCTCCCCCAAAACAACCTCCGTGACTCAGTCCTTGACAGATCAGCCTTGTTTATCAAGTGGCTGTTTTGCTTAGACCTTGTAAGCAATGGCACTGATCCAGCAAGAGGGAAATGAAAAAAGCTTAGGGTGAACCTACGTTTCCTTCTTCACTACTGATACCCCTGGCAGGGCTGTGGTTGCCCACCCCTGCAGTGGTTGTTCCTATATGGGAGGAGAAGCAGCCACATGTGGCCCAGCATGGTCTGTTTCTGTCCCTCCAGGAATGCTTTCAGCAGAAACGACTCAGAGCTGGCAGTGAACTACACGGCCAAGAAGTCCTACTGCCGGAGAGCTGTTGAACTTACACGTAAGTCTATTTTTTTTTT